GCTGTCCACCACCATTCAGGGTGTATCTTCTGCTGTCTTTTCCCAAAGCTGAGTCCCAGTGATTTAGGAGTCCTGAAAGTTACCGGCACTGAGGCTCCCTACGTGCTCAGGTCACTGCAAGTGCTCAGCCAGGAAAAGTTCAGCTCTGCCGAGCTACGCTTAAACCTCTTCAATAAATCCTGCTCTTCAGAGCTTTCTACATTTTCCCTCCACATGGCTTTCTCACTGCAAGTCAGGGCAATATTAACACTAACGGATCAGGCTGTGAGTCGCTCGTCCCCACCACCCAAACCCACCACGAAGCCCCAACGCCTCGGCACAGGGGCCTCGCACATTCCTGGCACCAGGGCTTGGCTGCCCTCGGCTCCTCCTCGCGTGGGACCACATCGCTCCTCGCTTGCCAAGAACTAACTGTACGTGTCAGATCCTTAGGCTGAGACTGAGCAAATCCATATTGTAGCAAGTCTCCGTGGTTTGCAGGATGCCATACCTCTCGGAAAAGCGCCCCGTAAAAGGTGACAGTGAAGGGGCAATCTACCGTCCTCATGGAGATATCTAGATCCATCAATAATCTCTTCTGCTCCTGGCTGTTCACCGTGGCTCGGATTCGCTGGAAGACAAAAATATTTTAGCGTTGGCCACCAGCACCTCCATACACCACCGCTGCTGCAGGGGACTCGCCATAGCCCTCCCCATGCTGGCCACTGTGCCTTGACATCAAGCCTTTGCCTTTTTATCACACCTCTTGGTGTCACCCTTTTATCACACCCCCTTGTCAGAGGCACATCACGACCCCAGCACCCACGCGGGGGTTCCCCAGTGTCACAGAGGGCAACGGGGGCTGGAGGGGTCTTCTCTCCTCCACCCAGACTGGAGGTGATTTTGCTTTTCCCTGCAAATGCTGCTCTTTTTGCAACAGCCAAAAGTCACTACGGCTTGGGAGAGGAGAAGGGAGTAGGAAATCAAATTCTAGGTTAGTGGAAGCCCGTGACTTTTGGAGCTGCAGGGGACATCTATTTCCATCAGCAGATTTTGGTCATGAGAGAGGGCTCCAGCCCTGCAGCCAGAGCCTGTGTGCTCCCCGTGGCTTTGGAAAATGGACACTTCCCAGCCTCCCAGGGAAGAGATGTCATTTATGTGGAATACCTGGAGACCCTCAGCTGGGAAGCACTGCCAAGGGGCACGACACAGTCCAACACGGGTCACACACATATTCCAGGCTCCTTTGCCAAAACCACTTGACATTGGTGATGGTACAGAATTAAACTGTTCATCATTGCAGCTGCAAGTAATAGCCTGAATGTTCCTGCCACACCCTCTACAGCTCTTCCATCATACTCAGAGAAGTCTTTTGCAGTTTGGTGAACACCAAAGCAAACAAGAAGACCAAATGCAGGGCACGGGACACATCCCAGCGTCCACATAAAAGTCTATCCATAACTGAGGAGCCAAGAATTTTCCTTCAGTTTGCTCATAGCTTCCAGTTCTGCATCTTTTTTTTTGTTTTTTTGCTTTTTTCTTATTTTGAAAGGAAATGAGCTAAAATTCAGCCCCGCAAAAATTGGTCCTTCCCAAAATACAAATTTTCCCATGACTGTTTCCTCAAACTGCAAGCTTGTGAGTCTAAACTGTTGTCATGAAAACTTTTCATAATAGCATCTACAAGCCTGTCATTAATCAAGATCCCACTGTAGCAGGCAAAATGTGCAAATCCCAACAAAAATTGCCTGTCCCAAAGAGACTAAAAATGTCCCAGCTGAAGAAAATTATCTTATGCAATCAAATTTACAGTGCACTGTTCTTTACAATTCCAATAAGCGTGTGGAGCTCTGAATCTGAGGGTATATCCACACTAGAAAAAAAAAAATGTGGATTTTAAAAAATGATGGCAAATAGCTTTTAAAATCCCATCAAAAACCAAGAATGTTGAAGACATAGACAAATGATATGTTTGTATGCAGCACAATCCTGGGAACACGTTGAGCATCATACTCTTAAATGTATGCTGATAGTACAATTCTTGTTTAAATGGCCCCAATCTACCTCGGCACTCTTTGCCCCTGTAAAGAGAGAGGATTCCGTACAGAAAGACATCAATCCCAGTAAGACATGCATCAGAAGAAGCAAGATTAGAAAAGTGCACGAAGGGGAGCGCAGAAGGTGTCCACACACAACGACACAGACAGAAAGCACCTCGGGAGGCTCACTCTACCTTCACTGCCATGATCTGCCCGCTAGGCATGTGCCGCATCTTCTCCACCACCCCGTACGCACCTCGTCCCAGCTCGGAGATGGGCTCCAGGTCATCGGCTTTCACCTCAAAGTTCTGCAAAGGAAAAAACCATCAGAGGTGACCACTGTACACACGTGCACTGCCAGCACTTTCAGCTTCTCCATCCTCTAGGGGCTGGGATGGAAAACGCCATGGCAGCTTCTCCCCTAGGAATCACCTTCAGTGGGTTTTTTTATTTTTTTTTTTCCCTTCCATTATCTTCCTCCCACAAACAATCACGGAAATACCTCCAGGGTTTTTTAAGACCTCTAAAAGCTTATTTCTCCAGACCTGTAGATGGACCAAATACCAGCTGAGTGTGCCCCATTTTTAAACCACAGAGGATTTATTTTGTCTAGCATTTGAGATCTCTTTCTCCCAAGCTTACACAAAGGATGACTTTGTTTGGAGCCCTGCATTCTAACCTGCCCTTCTCCGTTCTGCTGCGATATCGTGCAGCAGCTCTTATTTTTTGCTTATTATTATTTTTGGATGTTTAAAATATGCTTTAGCAACTAAAACCGGCCATTCTGTTTGCTGAACGCACAGCCACATCAGTCAATCATCCTCCAGAAAGAAGCTGCTTATAATGAACTGATTCACGGTGCATAATCCCACACTGCTTTTTGCCGGCACAGCAGAAAAAAAAAAAAAAAAAAAAAAAAAACTGCAATGTGCTGGCTGGGGATGCCGCGGCGTGCAGAGCCCGTACACTGCGTTGCTGTGTGCTCAGGCTCCCGGTCCACAGCTACATCGCCTGCAAAAGGAGCCCTGAGCAACATCTGTGTGTTGCGGCAGGGATGTAAGCATCTCTGACTGCCCGACTCTGCGCCTACTGTTCGACAGGACCCTCTCCAAAAAAGCATTTTGACTCTCTCAAGGCCACTCTTTAATTTAGCAGCAAAGTTTAAAGAGAAAAAAAATTCTTTAGGGATCAGGGGTGAGTGCAGAAAGGCTGGTGGAAGAGGGAACGCATCCTAAAGGCACTTGGCTGGACAAACAGGTAACAGATCTACGGGAAATGCAAGCCACGGGATGTCAGTCCCTCCGAGACAGCCACATATCCACATCCATAAAAACAGACTGAGCTCTGGGTTTTACAAGTGTGTTTCTCCTCGCACCATCCAACACAGGCTCTCTGCCTCCATGCGTGGAGCCTTTCTGCAGCGCTCGAGCTTTGCCTCATCCCTGGGACTGCAGGGGAGAAAGGATTTTCTTGGAGCGGGCGCTTGCTCTAGCAGCAGGCATTCTGTGCCTCGCTGCTGGACCATTTTGCTCCAGAGGCATCTCACA